GTGAACCCAGTCGGTCAGGGGGTAGCCAGGAGGAGCCCCAAAAGAACAGCCCCCGCTGCAGAGAGAGTCACCGGGGGCCTCCCAGCCAGGGAAATAGGGAGAACCCCCTCCAGAGGAACGCCTGGCGTCGGGCCTCCGACCCGCTCGAGGGGACCAACGTGACCTGAGCTGCTATCACTGTGGCCAGAGAGGCCACGTACGGTCCCAGTGCCCTGGGCTCAGGGACAAACTGGGCAGACCCAACCTACCCAGGGTTAACTGGGTAGGGACCCAGCTGGACAAGGGGGCAGACGAGCCAGGGAAGGGGGCTGCCAGTTTACCACACCTGCTCAGGAGGGAAGAGTACCCAGGCCAGCTCCGCCAGAGGCTGGAGGCTCTAGACTCAGGGTGCTCGGTTTACAGGGTGGCGCTGGGCTGTACCTCAGGAGAAGAGTGCCTTGTTCCCTGGAGTGGATGGGAGGAAGGTCAATGGATGCTGGGATACGGGCGCGGAGGTGGCGCTGGCGGCCCGAGGTGGTGGCCCCAGATCGGGTGGTGCCCAGCACCTACCTGACCCTGACGGGGGTGGGCGGGACCCCATTTAAGGTGCCCGTGGCAAGAGGTACACCTGAAATGGGGGGGCCAAGAGAGAACCACAAGGATGTGGGGAGTAGACTACCATTGCCCATGAAGTTTTGATGGAGGGAGACCTAGAGGACTGGCCAAGCAAGCCCCAGACCGCCCTGGTTGTGACCCGTAGCCAGAGCCGGCGAGGGCTACTGCTCCCTGACCTCGGGGAGGGTACCGCACCGGAGGCGCAGGACCCTACCCTGGTGGGAAGGAGTGGCCGAGGGGGCACGGCTCAGAGAGGCTGAGGCCTCAGACTGGCCACTGAGGGGAACTTGGTCCCCATCCCCTTCCCCAGCTGCTGAGTTCCAGGCCGAGTTGAGGGAAAGATCCCTCCTTGCGGAAGCTCAGGGACCTGGCCGACCTCAGGGTGGGTACGGACCATGAGGAGAGGCTGCCAGGAGAGGTTCCTGTGGGAGAAGGGGTTCCTATACCGAGAATGGGCTCCCACAAGGGGAAGTGGAGTCCTGTGGGATCAGGAGGCAGCTGGTGGTCCCAAAGTGTAAAGGATAGCTCCTGTACCTGGCCCATGACATCCCCCTCGCAGGGCACCAGGAATCCCGGCGCACCCGGCAGAGGTTGCTACAGAACTTTTACTGGCCGGGGGGTCTTTACCACAGTCCGGCAGTATTGCCGTCCTGTGACCCCTGTCAGAGGGTAAGGAAGGCCAGGACAAGGGAAAGCGGCTTTGAGACCTTTGCCCATCATGAAGGCCTTTCCAGAAGGTATGCATGGACATCGTGGGGCCTCTCAGCAGGACGACCGGTCGGGGAAGAAATACATTCCTGGTGGTGGTAGATTTTGCCACCCGCTACCCAGCAGTGCCACCAGCTTCCATTAAGAGCGAACACCGTGGCCGATGCGCTCTGACCATTTTCAGCAAGTGGGGGTTCCCCAAGGAAGTCTTGACAGACCAAGGCTCCAACTTCATGTGACCCCTGCTCGGTGCTTGTGGGAGAAATGTGGGGTCAAGGCACGACTGGGCCTCAGCTTATCACCCCCAGTCCAACAGGCTGGGTGGAGGGATTTAACGGGGCCTAAAGATGATGCTGAAAACCTTTATGAACCAGCACCCACAGGATTGGGACAAGTACTTACCTCACCTGCTGTTCGCGTACAGGGAGGTGCCCAGGAGTTCCCTGCAGTTTCGCCTTTCGAACTCTGTTATATGGAAGGAGGGTGAGGGCCCCCTATGGACCAGATGAGGGAGAGCGAGTGGGAGGAAGGCCATTTACGATGGAGAGTCAGTGGTGGAGTATGTCCTGATCTTCCGAGGGAGACTTGCTGGACTCATGGGCCTGGCCAGGAAAGAATCTGGCCGAGGCAGAAGAAGCAGAAGGTCTGGTATGACCGCACGGCAAGGGCCGATGCCTACGCCCAGCAGAGAGGATCAGTGATGGTTCTCATCAGTGAGAAAGAACAAACTACAGGAGGACCTGGGAGGGGGCCCTTTCAAGGTCGTCAAACAGCTTCCAATGAGGTAAACTATGTGGTGGAGCTGTCGAACCGGGCGCACCACAACATGGTGTACCATGTGAATATGATGAAGCCAAATGTGCCAGGGGAATGTGGTGTTGGCCGTGTGTGGACAGTGGGAAGAGCAAGGAGATGACCCTTTAGTAGATCTATTCCCTGGGACCAGAGCTGGTTCCCCCCTGGAAACAATTCCCCTCTAGGATCAGCTAAAGGCTGCCCAGCAAGCTGAGGTCAGGGAGGTGCTGCATCGATACCGACAGCTGTTTTTCCAACCAGCCTGGATAACACTAATCTGACTGTCACGGGTGCAGACAGGGTCGCACCCGCCGATAAGATGCTCCCCCTTCCGAGTCACGGGGGAAAAGCTGCTCAGGACCCTGCTGGAAAGAGGTCCGGGACATGCTGGCTTTGGGGTGATCCAGCCATCTGCCAGCCCCTTGGGCCTCGCCGGTGGTGCTGGTCCCCAAAAAGGACGGGTCGGTCAGTTCTGTGTGGACTATCGGAAGCTCAATGCCACTCACTGTATCGGATGGCTACCCCATGCCCAGGCCGGACGAGCTCCTAGACAAGCTGGGAGGAGCTCGGTACCTCACCACCATGGACCTTACAAAGGGCTACTGGCAAGTGCCCCGCTGGATGCAGATGCCCGGCTGAAATCGGCCCCTTTATCACCCCTCTCTGGGGCTCTATGAGTTCCTGACCCTGCCTTTCGGCCTCCAGGGAGGCGCCGGCCACCTTCCAGCGCCTGGTGGACCAGCTCCTGAGGGGGATGGAGAGTTTGCCGTGGCGTATATTGATGACATCTGTGTGTCTTTAGCCAGACCTGGGAGGACCACGTGTCCCAGGTTAGACAAGTGCTGGACCACAAACTCCAGGGGGCTGGGCTGGCATCACAAGCGGAGAAATTGCAAGGTGGGGATGGCGGAGGTGTCTTACGAGGCCATCGGGTGGGGAGCGGCCGCCTAAAGCGGGAACCAGCCAGGGTGGAGGTGATCAGAGACAGACACGCTCCCTACACCAAAAAGCAGGTCCAAGCCTTTATTGGGATGGCAGAGGATACTACCGAAGATTTGTGCCTGCTTTAGCGCCATAGCCACCCCCATCACTGAGCTATGCAAGAATGGAAGCCAGACAAGGTGGTCTGGACCGAGCAGTGCCAGGAGGCTTTCCGGGCGCTGAAGGAGAGGGAAGCTCTGGTCAGTGGCCCAGTTCTGGCGAACCCGGACTTTGACAAGGGCCTTTGTGGTGTTCACCGACGCCTCCGACACGGGACTGGGGCGGTGTTAATGCAGGAGAAAGTGAAAGAGGGGAGAGAGACACCCCATCGTGTACCTGAGCAGAAGTTGCTACCCGGGAGCAACACTACGCGGCCATCGAGAAGGAGTGCCTGGCCATGGTGTGGGCCCTCAAGAAACTAGAGCCCCTATCTCTTCGGCGGCACTTCACCGTGTACACCGACCACTCGCCCCTGACCTGGCTGCACCAGATGAAAGGAGCCAACGCCAGCTCCTGAGATGGAGCCTGCTCCTGCAGGATTACGACATGGACGTGGTCCACGTGAAGGGAAGTGCCAGCCTGATAGCGGATGCGCTGTCCGGAGAAGGGGCCCGAACTTCCCCAGGTCACTGGTCACAGTGACCCCGCTCAGTTCAGTCTCGAAGGGGGGAGAGATGTGACGAAGTGACTCAGCAGGGAGGGGAGTGTTGACCTGTGAATGTGCCCTGGGGATGGAGACCTGAAGGCCTGTCACCTGAGCCAGGAGGGGGGAGGGGAGGTGACACCTCTGCCCAGGGAATGTGAACAGAGGCTGCAGCAGGAACCTGCGGGGTGAGTTTAGTGGGCAGTTTGGAGGCTGGGGGAGGAACACAGGGAACCCCAGGGCTGGGGTTCTAAGCTCCCTGCTCCCCCAGAAGGATGTGATTGAGGGGTCCTGGTTGTACCCACAAGCTCTGTTGTGGACTGTGTTCCTGTTGTCCAATAAACCTTCTGTTTTACTGGCTGGCTGAGAGTCTCAGTGGATCCCAGGAAGATAAGGGTGCAGGGCCTGGACTCCCCCACACTCCGTGAC